CTGTGTGTATGTGTGCTATCTTTGTGTGCTTGTACGCGTGGATGGGCGTGCCTACCTTAACAGTTCAACGGGTGCCCTTTCCATCCTAGAGACCAAGTCTGTTTTTGCACTGCCTGGTTGCCTTCGCCATTTTAAAGCAATTTTCAAACAAATTTACTGTCATTAACTTAGACAGTTGATGAAATTTATGTCAGACATATCAACATCATGACGTCCCGCCACCTCCCACTAGCTCCAATCACCGGCCTGTGCCTTTGTCTGCGCTACTCGGTCTCTGTGTGTGGCATCCGCATGGGCTTGAGCCCAGTTTGAGTGAATGACTTCAAAAGCAAAAAGACATTAAATTTTGTTTACACAAACTCAACGAATCCAATTTAATTCAATTCTTGTGTGCATACGTGTGTTTGTCTGTGTGTATATGTGTATGTGAGTGTGTGATGGTGTCTAAATGTGCAGGAGTACACATATACCTATATGGATAGTACACACGTATGTATGTCGGCTACATGCACCGCCAGCAACAACAAATCGTTTACCACAGTTCACTGACTTACATCATAAAACGTCTCGCTCTCAGTAACTTTACCCATCACTGCCAACACTTAAGCAATACGCCAGACCCATTTCTCTGCTTCCTTATGACTTTCTCTCTCGCTCTCTCACTGCTATTCATTTCACTCCTTTCAGACAATCGATCAATTGGGCTGCAGTAATTTGTGGGCACAGGCGCAAAGTGCTCGTCATCTGTCGTGCATATGCCGGCAACAACACCAAATAACCAACACAAAACACGGACCTGCAAACCACAGCAAGTACTACTTATGCATAGAGGGCGTAACGAGGCAAACGAGAAGAAGATGGAAAGTTAATTGTTGATGCGTGTGTGCTCTTCTGGCTCCAGCAAATACAACAAATTACTGCAGGCAAAATTAGGAAACTCTTAATTGTTATAATAGTTACTCATATATTGATGTTTGTAGTAAATAAATTGCATTTTTTAAGTCAATTACGAGCTGAAAGCCTTAAAGTTTTTACTTTTGTCTACGCACCTAGCAGTAAACACACACTTTTATAATATTAAAAAATAGATAGAGAAAAGCTTTCCATTTTTTAAAACATTTTTACTTAATATAAAATCTATTATCGTATGTTTAAATTACGAAATTTTAAAATATTTTTTAAACGTATTTGTTTTGTACGAGTATTTCATATTTATATTTCAAATCTTTACGCCAAGCTCTAATTATTCATTTTTTGTTTTCCTATTAATAATGGTCTTCCCAATGGCAAATGGGTCTCTTAAATTAAAATGCCACTCAATGTCATGTGACATATGGCATGTCATAGTTAAAGTACACGCCCATGGTCGGATTACTAGAGAAATCATTCAAGGCAAATCGTGTGCAAATTTTAATTTTACGAGTGCTCGCGGCACGTACTCGAGTTCGACTTTGTTGCGACGTCTGTCATAAACAGCAGTTTATTCAGCAGTTCAGTGTTGCCAGCATATTTATCTTCTCGTTATGTCAGCTGCGCGGCTGAATGGAAGGAGGAGCCTCAGCAAATTAAGTGGCAGTTATTTCTCACGCAACTCGTCCAGAGCTTCATATAAGAGTAAACAAAAATGGCCTATAAATTTCTTTAGTTCGATGCTCGTTGTTCGTTGTTCGCTATTCGCTGTTCTCCAGAACCAACAGCATTGTCATTGGCATTGCCAGTGAGTTTTCGTCATCATGGTGAATGGCGATGCTGCTGGCGTTTGTTAATCCTGTATTGTTTGCTTTATAAATGCGTTAATTTTATGACAAGTTCATTTTATTGGTTTTTCTTGTTTGCTTTCGTTGTGTTCTCGCATTGGTTTCTACAAGCCAAACATTAAATGACAAAGAGCAGACAACAGAAAACAGACGACAGTCATCAGATAAGACAAAAACAACAGAGCGAAATACTCAATTTGATGGTCTGTTAATTGCTTGTTTTAATTGTTGTCTTCATGCTCCGGCCATGAAAGTGCGTGTGTGCTTGTGTGCATGCCAATAACAATAAGCCATGGCCAATAACTTTAAGCATAATCAATTTCACAATTGAGTCCACAACTTGCATAGTTTATCATGCAGCCTGATGTTTTCAATACTGGTTAGAGTAATTAATTTTAATTGAGTATATCACTAGACTTAAATGAATTATAAGCTATTTGCAGCTGAGCAGTCAGTCAACAAAGACCTGTTATAATAGACAATTTAAGTATAATTTTGTTTACATATTTAGGCATTCTGCATACAAGTACATATTCTTGCCAGCACTTAAATATCTAGTTTATACATTAATTATTTGTAGTGAGTGGCTGCTGAGAAGTTAGATCAAGCAACTTTTAATTAACAGTAAACTGTAATGTTTATTCGACGCTTTTACCCTTGATTTGCATTATGTTCACTTGAGTTTTTAATGCAATTATATATTTACTTTTCATCTAGAAATTGCTCTTAAGTTTTCATTATCTGCTGAGCTACTGCTGTCGTTGCGTATACGACCTATATAGCAAACTGAACATAATTAACACAAATTCGTCTAATTGGCTTAAGTTCTGATTTCATTTCATTTTTCCACTGGAATATCTGCAGCAAAGTTGCAATGAAAATGACCAATCAACTCGTTGGTAACTAAAGACATGTGGTGCAACTTTATGACAATCGATTGCGACACCTGTGCGCCACCCCACCAAAGCCAGCAACGACTTCAGTTGATGGGACAGTAGAGCCCTCGATTTCTCCCCCTTTCTTTGGCTTACTCAGTGAGGCAACGCTGCACAACTGCGCAGTCAATCATGCATGTGATGTTGCCGCCAGGCTACAGCTCTAGTTCTGGCTCCAACTACTGCCCCAGCCACAGCCAGAGATGCTGCCTGCTGTCTGGAAATAAGCACGTTAGTTGCTTGTATTGGCTTTGGCTGCATCTCGGTGTCCTATGCCCCATCATTCTCTCATTCCCCTACTTTGAGTGCGACTATTGCCCCAGTTCCTGGAACAGCAAAATATGTGCGCAGTGAATGTACTGATGTGCTTGAGCAGTTGCCTGCAGGCTGTTTGGGCAAACTGCATAAATGTCAGCTTGTTGCCAGTTATCGCACGCTTTTTTAGCGCAAGTGAAAAGCCACTCAGGCGTATTTGACAAAGAGACAAAAAAGCATAGAGCTTTAAGTTTATTTCAATGTCAAAATAAGTAGTCAATGTGGGCACCCCATTAAGTATATCAATATTCACACTGAGCACCCTGTAGCCTGCATTGTTATCATTTTAAATAATTATTATAGGCATATATTGATATAGTATAGTAACTGAATGCAAACGCCACCTTGACAGCTGTGCTCTTAATTTTTACTACGCCTATTACTCTTCTACTTATGTAAAGGGTATTGACTATTTTCTAAGAAACAGATAATATGTCATATCAAATTTTCGGAATATACAAACCCACTATGAATATTTTAGACATGTATAGCATATAGACAGCAACCGTTCAGATCACACATGATATTTGAGATGATATCTGGAATAAACACTTTTGATCATATTTTAATAACAATGAACGAACTATCTAATTCATTTGAGACTCTACTTATTTTATATAGGACTATATAAATATATGTGCTTAAAATTGCTTCTATGCTTCTCCAGTTTAAAGTACATATAAGTGTAAAAGTGTAAAGCATCCACGACTTGTAGTAGATAGCTTTTCTGTTTTTAGTCATCCAGCAATCACTTACATACATACATAGCCTCACACAGCTAGTGGCCGGCGGTCCACGCAGAGACGACTCCGACAGCAGTCTCCGCGCCTCACTGCTTGCCGCTGTCATCAATCTTCCTTAATAGATGTTCACACAATTGAATTATTACATGTGTCCAAGTGGCTGGCAACTGACTGGTTGCCGCCTCTCGTTTTGCTTCTGGTACCTTTGCCTGCTCGAGCTGCTCGTACTTGACATAGCTCATATGCGCTGGAAACTGCCACAGTACGTGCCCCTCCTTCGCCTTCGCCTCCTTCAACTGCTGGACCTTCTGTTTGCATGTGTCGGACATTAATGTTGTTTGGAATGGAAACGGAACGAAAACAATTTCTGGATATTATGAGGTTCAGTAAGCAGTAAGCTGTCGCCACAGTCATTTAATATTTTCTTATGATTTCAAACAGCAAATATTTGTGCTTTGTAAGAGTGATATTATATAATAGTAAAATATTTTGTGTTGATGAATTCAATTGAGGAATAAATATTGAAGAAAATTTATTATTAAATAGGATTATTAATTTTGGTTTTAAGTATAAAAATACTCATATTTCTATTAATATATGAAACATAATCCTTTAAAATAAATTTAATAGTTACTCCGACTAAAGAGTTTTAGCAATATCTGCAGTTGGATATATGTGACTTCGATATATATAAAGTCATATATAGCCTTAGTTAGTTTAATATTTTTATTAGCTGTTACAATTTGTTCTTTACTTTGTTACCATTCCAATTAGTACGAAATTAATAATGTATTGTTCAGTTTACGTGTATGTTAAGAATACCTTTTGTTTAAAAACTTTTCCTTGGATGCTAGAAGTTTTTAATAAGGTGAACGCGAGGTCAAAAACAATGCCCTATTCTGCGACTGACGCACGTTTGGTAAAGCAGACTGACTATGCAGGCACCAAAAACTTTTAGGGAAGTGGCATTAAAACTTTGACAACTTATCAACGAACGACATGGTCAGAACAGCCAACCCGAATATGACTTTGGCTCCAGAAGGTCAAGTGACAACTGATTACTTGATGCTTGACGAAAGCGAGGAATACGCATTAAATGCGAGACTCAAATTCGGAAATAAAATATAATAATGAGATAAGATAAGCTGATACACCAAAATTGCATTTGTACATTGTCAATGACTTATAAGTACATTTCTAAGAGCTTGTTTGTAGAGATATAGGAAGCACTGCTACTTTCATATATAAAATTTTGTTTTGTGAGCTTTAATATCATTCTTAAATTTTAATTAAAACTACATTTTGAAGTATATAATCTAATCATTCGTTATTTGATTGTTGTTTATCACCTATTGTTTTTTAGACAGTCGCACAGGCACACCACCTTTTGGAAGCAGGGGAACTCCATTGACCGTAAACTCAATCTCACGTTTCTCCTGGCGCGTCTCTAATGTAAAGCTGGTAAGTATTTTTGTCAATGCAATCTTGACATTTAACTTTCCCATTCTAGCCGCTAAAAAGGGTAATGTGCAATGTAATATTAAGATCTAATCTATTACATATCTTCAATTTCAGCTTACCTATGCACTGACGGGGTCCAACGCCGAAGGGCATATAAGCAGCAGGTGTGTAGTTTCTATGCTCTTCTGTGAAACGTTCAGGCTGGTAGCTGAGTGGATCTGGAAAGTATTCCTCATCGCGATGCATGCCCATTAGAGATATGATTATTTCGGTGCCCTTCTTCAGAACCAGCTTGCTATTTGGCAAAGGATAGTCTTGGTTGCACATGCGATTGAGTATCGGCAGTGCTGGATATTTGCGAGTGGTTTCTGAAAAGTGGGCAAAATGACTATGACATCATAGGATATATATTCCAGGAACTTACCCATCACACAGAGCTCCAAGTATTTCATATCCTGTATGCTATCATAGTTAAGCTCTCCGTTGTGCTTAGCCAGCGTCTGGTTGATGTCGTCCAACAACTTGGCCAACACATCCGGGTTCTGCGCGAGCTCATATAAAGTAAATGCAGCAGTCGATGCAGTTGTTTCATAGCCAGCCACAAAGAATAAAAACAACTGTGCAACAACATTGTCTTTGGATAGAGTCTTTACGCCATTCACTGCAGCCTTTGCCGACCACATTCCGTCATCGGTGCTAACCTTTCCAGTGTTACGCAACTGCAGAAGCAGTTGCATCAAGTCACGACGCTCCACATTGTTAGCCTCCCTAATTGAAATCGTATGGTGTACCAGATTTTGCATTTCTCTCATCCCTGGTAGTGTCCAGCCAAACCGATTGAATATCTTCTCAAGGCTTTAATTCAGTGGAATATATTTTACTCAAGAAAAGTTAGTTAACAATTTAGTCATTTGCTTACCCTGGATATAAAAATGATGTTGTTCCACGCAGAATGTTTTCCGCGGTGTTTTCGGTAACCTGTTTACTTATTCCACGCAGTTCATTGTCGGGTTGCGTAAAGCTATCCACATCCAGACCAAATATGGTGGAGGCAATAATATCAATAGCAAAGCTACAAATATTTGGAAATGGAAGACACTTTTCTAATCAAGGCTAACTGATAAGCAGTTACTTACCATGCCATCAAATTCTTCATATCGACTTCGACAGTGCCTGACTGTTTTATTTTGTTATTTAAATGAGCTATCAATTTGTCCGCAACATCCTCTGATGTGCTGAACATTGCCTTTAGTTTGCCAGATGTAAACGAAGGCGTCAACTTTGTACGCATTGTCCTCCAACTTTGACCTTCCATTGAAAAGAGGTTTGCGGACAGGGCATCATGTTTTTCGTCTACGTAAACGCCGCGATCGTGGAAGCTGGCAAAGTCCTTGACGAGCATATCGTGAGCCAACTGAGCATCACGCACAAGCAATGCCGGTCGTAGAGTCAGATAGATGCCTATGAAAGGCTTTGTTGTGGATAAGTACATATCGTAGATGGCCAAACCGAAGGAACGTTTATTTCTTCGCACCGAGTCCAGAGCTCCAAAGGGTATGCATCCCCGATTGCAGGGAAAGCCCTTGCGTTCCCAGAAGCTGAAGGTCCATTTCAGATATGTGTACAACAGTAATCCAATTGCACTTATTAAATATATTACTGCACTCATTGTGAACATCAAGCGTATGCCAAGCAGCTTAAACTTAAACTGACTTACTAAACTAACAAACTGAGACTTCTATATAGTCTCACGCTGAATTCCAGCAACTTATCGCCGGCGCCCTTATCAGTCAACTACTAAGCATTTACCGATGCATAGATAACCCACCCTTGTAAATAGGGAGATAAAGAAACTACATTTTAGAAATTTTCATTGTGACTGGGCATAAAAAGTACATAAGTGCATGTCCACTTTTATATAAATACATATATTATCTTGTGTATACCTTATACTGACTACTCACTATTTCAGGTTAATAAAGCCTGCATACTCTCTCAAAATAAATAAGTTCGTACAACACATTGATCGTAAGCATGACTCGGCTTAAAAAAAACTTATTGACAAGCAAAATCGTCATTAGGTAGCAAAAAAAAAATATATATTATTATATTTTGATAATGATAATGTTATGAAGCGTTGCTGGTTGATTATTTGAACGAGCTACTTAATAATACAGCCTCAACCATGATTGTTTGCACTATCAATAAATAATCATTGGAATTGTACATTATATCGATACGTTTGCTTGCCATAGGTCACGCACATAATAATCTATACTCATAAATAGCCAAATATTTATTTTTAGTATTTATTATTATTATTAAGTTTTCCATATAAGATTAGGTAAGAGAAGCCCCCAAATATAAGCAATTGCAACAGTAAACGTATGACTAAAAAAACACCGAACTTAAGAAACTGAATCAGCCTCGTCTCAGTCAACTTCAAAATAACAATGCAGAAAAGAATAAATAAATTCTATTTGATAATGCAGAAAAGAATAAATAAATTCTATTTGATAATTGTCCATTGTAGACATATACATACATATATATATATATATATATATATAAAATAAATAGAGATATGTAATCCATAGCATATCTTGAATGCGTTGTGAAACGTTTCAGCTGATTACTGAGCGGATTTAATTGCTCTAATGACATTTTTAGCGGACCAGCTTGATTTTGAAAATGATAGTAAATAAATATACATATATATTAATTTACATATATGCACGCCTCGTGGGCATTTAATATCAATAATGTAATAAATTGACGCCGACGTAATGATGGAAATGGCAATATTGCTTGAGAGTACGATGCTGGCTCGAGTCCCATACATCACTTTGCGTGTTCAGAAGCGAGATGTTAGAAATGCAAATGCTTTTGTAATAAACCTTCAATGTGAGCGTGTGTGGGGTAGTGTGCGTGTGTGTTAGCCAATAAATCAAAATATGAAACTCTAAAAGCTTTTTCAGGTATTAGCCACAAGCTGCGCAAGCTAAACACATTTTGACGCTTTGAAAACCTTTTGAAGCCTTCTTTGTACCGCGCACAGCTCCCATCAACCGTCATCCAGCAGCCGACAGCCAGCGACAAATGCGCTTAGTGCTTAGCAGACCAAGAGAAAATGCCGTTGGCAGACGAGCTGCGTTCAACCCGCGCCTCATTATAAATTTGCCAGTTTTGCACGTTTCCGCTGTGCGCGCCAAAAAATGTCACAAAGTTTCAACTGGCGGCACAAACACAATCATTCTGCTCATACAGATACAAACATATACGTATACACATGCCTCGTCTAACCGTGGCTCGGTAGTGTTAGGTGCTCGTGAGCCTGTCTCGGCTTGCGTCTCTGTTTCTCCTTGGGCTAAATGTCAGCTTTTGTCTTGGCTCGCAAGCCAAAAAGTATGCTGAAACAATGTCAAGCATAATTTGCATACAATTTTTGCTCTGTCCCGTGCAGTGCACCTCCAGTCTGTTGTTGGTTTCTGTTGTTGCCTTTGCCGGTGGTCATTATGTTTGCCGGCCGTGTCAGGCACGCACAGACACTAACTCACGCTCGCTCAAAATGCTATTTTGACACTAATTTAATTTACGTCACTTCATCTCTGTTGGACCAGACGAGAACAGGCCACACCAGCTCTATACAACAGGCCAAGCAACTAAAAAGTAGGCTGCTTTTGAAATGTTTTGAAATTTTATTTGGCTTGTCACAGTACTAAACTGAGTTAATTGTCTTATGCCTAAGTATATGTATTCATTCTTTCTTGGCCTCTTTCTCAATATCCTTTCACTTGCATTCGCTCTATAACAATACCTTACTCATTTTCTCTAAAAATCTTCCTGCAAAAATCGGACTCGATTTCTGAAAATCATTCTTAATCCTTGAAGTCAAACTAGACTTCACTTAAATTGTCACCTGAATAAATTACCTTTTTGGAAGGAGCACAGCTTTATTGCTTTTATGAAATGTGCTGCGAGTTCATAGTTTTAATTGCCTTTATATGTAAAAACATATAAAATCAAAACTGCATATGTAACTTTGTAGTCATTTGTCACACAAAGTGCAGCACTTAACAGCTGGCACATAAATTAAGCGTTGCCGTTGAACATTTCAACGGAGTATAACAGCATCACTTTTACAAATTAACACACCCGCTTGCCTGGCTAATTGTAATTAATAATACAGTACGCCAGGCAGTGCACCTGACGATACCACGCCCCCATCACGCACACACCCTCATCAAACGCATACCCTTACGCGGCAATTAATTAACGCAACATATTCAACTTGCAACATTTAACGATGATGACCACTTCCGCTCATTAACCAGTTGAAAAATTAACATGCGGTCATAATTTATGCACGAACCGTTATATAAATAACAATATAATCACGGGGGCGTTACTGGAAGGTAAATGGGAGATAACCCTAGCTCACCTCTAAATAGGATTAAAATTTATTCCAACTTTTGTGTATACACATGTGAATACAGACAAGACAAAGACGTAAACAGACTTGTAAATATACGAAGGACACCAATAGACGAATATCATCTTACTAGTCATATTGTATACATCCATATATATACGATTACAATGTCACATTCATATTTTTTCATACTTAAGCACGCAGCTTTCAAGCTGCGAACAATTTGATACAATTCTGTTGCACAATTTGGAAAAATCATTATCGATTCTATTCGATTGTTTTGGTCTACTCCTTACACAATTCTCCAATCAGTTAAAACAAATTTAATGAAAATGGAGTGAACTAGTCGTTAGTATAAATTAAATTGAACTGCTGTCATTAGAATGATGTAAAGATCTTACAAATATTAACAAGTAAGAGTGCTCTAGTTGGGACTGCCTGAACCCAGCACAGAGCTGCTTTCATACATACAAAGAATAAAATTAATTATGGAATATATTTGTACTTAAACATCCAAAATACATATATGCATTATATTTAAAATCGCATGACGGGCGGATATCTTGAAGTTGGACACTCCACTAGAGTTTTCTAACTTGTTAAGATTTCATTTTTGTTTCATAGTCAAAATACACACTAAATTGCCCTTTTGAATGTAATGGGAATTTAACATTTCCTTGTATTTATATGTGTGATTGGTGACATAGCAGGGTAAAAATCGACTTCTGACCTGTGCATTGCTTTAGGTGAGAGAACTATGGATAGCCATATGATTATATTTTGCTATCTCCACACCATAAAACTTGTTATCAAGTCTTTTTCATTCAATTTGAAGTTTGAGCTAAACTCAACTCAATTTGAAAAATCTTTGGCCAAATTGTTCAGCCAAGGCCCGCCAGCAAAAATAAGAAAAATACAGTCAACAAAAATAAACAAAAGCAAAACTACATACACACACACACACACAACTACATATGTACATACGCACGCAGAAGTGTTGCCACAGCATGACGTTGAGAGAGCAGACAGGAATGATAAAAGAAAAGAGACTACGACGGCAGGCGGAGCAAAGCAAACAAGCATAGGGCTGAGGCACTAAAGCACCAAGATCTGTTTGCATTATTGATGGCCTGGATTATCTTTGAGTGACAACTATATGTGAAAGGTATATATGTGTGCGAGTATGCGAGAAGTGCAGCTAAGCTTAGCCAGAGCTGCTGCAGCTGCTTCAAGAATATTTGCAATTTAATTAATTTAGAAGTGTTTGTTTTATCAAGTGTTGATTGTCTCACTTGTTTGTGGCAGTTACGAGCGTGCCATTTCAAAGGCTTTACTCGAGCAGCAAGACAATGCCCGGCCCAAAATCGATAAGCCACGAATGGTCAAGTTGATGCTGCTGCTGCTACTCTAGCTGCAGGACAACTTGCAATCCACTTCACTCCGATGCAGTGCCAGTTCCAATCAAAGTCCCAGGCGAGTTTACCGAAGTCAGGCGGCGCCATGCAATGCTTTTTATCTTAATCTGCTGCAAATGGACATTAAATGCTATTTCTTTAGATTTATTCAAACAACAACAACTGTTACAATGTGGCGTGGAGCAACAGCAACCAACATAACGACAGATTGGCACGAGCGGGCAGCCAAGTGGCAATTTGTGGCTTTGCACGGCAAACCGACATCATCAGCGTTGGATAAAACAAAGGCCACACGGACAGTAAGCCATCCAGCCAGCCAGCCAGCCAGCCAGCCAGCCAGCCAGCTATCCAGCCAGACAGACAGCAAAGACATTCAGACAGCCAGTCAGTGAGATGGAAACTGAAGGAGAGAGCGAGTGCGAGTGCGAGTGTGAGGGAGTTGTCGGCATTTGTCCCACGGGCATTGCATGTTTGAAGCAAATTTATTACAAGCAACAGCCCGCAGTCGCAGTTGTCTGGGCCATCAGCACTTGGCTCCGAGTAGCTCGGCTTGGCTTCGTACTGTTGGCCTGCTACGTGTCGCCTTGTATTGAGTGCGAATCTGTTATGTGCCAGGGTGGGCACGTGGGGGATGCGCCATCGCCGCAGCTGACCCTAGGCCAACTATCGACAAGCATCTTGGACTTGGACTGTTGACTGTGCTGTCTCTGCTGACTATTTTGCCACTTATAAATTCCAGCAGTACATGGCCCAAACACTTGTTACATCAATTAGACGGCCACAGAGTGGCAAAATCTGTGAGTATGTGTGTGTTAGGGTGCTTGTGTAAGTCTGCCATGGTCGGAATGTGAAAAGAGATTGTTGGTTTTGCCG